CATCTTCTGACAACTGACACCCCCTTAGATCCCGGCCCAGGGCACTGGCTTCTCGGCCACGTCATGAACGTCTTCCTCGCCCCCACCCCGAACGCTACCAACATCACTTTCCACAAAGCCCACGGCCCCACCATCAAGTACCGCACCCAGCTCGGCCGGTTCGAAGTCTCCACCATCGACCCCACCGCCATCGCCTACATCCTCAACCACCCCGACATCTTTGTCAAGCCCCCAGCGCTGAGGGACTGGCTGTATTTGAGGATTGGGAATGGGCTGGTGACGGCCGAGGGGGAGCATCATAAGAAGCAGAGGAAGGCGATGATTCCGAGTTTCAGCCCGGCGGCGATTAGGGAGCTGGCACCAGTCATGCTTGATGTCGCGAATGAGCTCAAAGATAAACTCGACGGCTTGATTGCGCACAAGGACGAATATACACTCTCGCCCTCGCCTGCCAAGCCCATCGACGCTGTACCGGGGGGCGCCAAGGTCAATATTCTGAGGTACATCAACATGTCTACGTTTGACGTTATCGGTCTCACCGGCTTTGGGCATTCGTTTGGGTCGTTGTCGGATAGGAAGAATGATCTCACGGCTTCGATGCAGAGGTTTCTTCAAAACATGTTTGTGGCGCGTTTGGTAGACTATCTCTTTGGGCAATATCAGTTCCAGCTTGTGAGTATTTTGATTACATGATTTCGCCGTGCTTGAGGCTGACACCTGTTTAGCCGACGGAGAAGAATCGCGTTGTCAACAAGGAAAAGCAAGAGATTCTCGAGTTTGCTAGGGTAAGCCTCTCTTCGGCTTTCCCTCAGATACGCCTCTGACGTAGATCGTACAGAGGATCGCCGCAGAGAGGAAGAAGGAGATCCTGGAACAGTCCTACGGCGAAGGGATCAACAAAAAGCAGGATATCGGCAAGGATCTGCTCTCTCTTCTGAGCGAGTCTTTTGGTCGATTGTTGTGCATCTTGAATGAGCTGACGGGTTGGACAGTCAAAGCCAATATGGCGTCCGATATGAAGCCCAACGAGCGTCTGACAGATGAAGATGTGGCTGATCAGATCTTGACCTTTGTCGGTACGATACACCTGTTTGACGTCTTGGTGGCTGACGAGTGGGAATTAGTTGGTTGCCGGTAGTGAAACGACCGCCACCTCTCTTGCCTTGTATCTCGATATCATCAGCCAACACATCGACGTCCAAGATCGGCTTCGCAAAGAACTCTTGTCTGTCAACGAAGAACGCCCCCCTTTGTGAATTCGGTTTCACAGTTGTCGGAGGAAACAGTGTGCTAACCTCTGCATAGCGAGACGCTCGACAACTTGCCCTATCTCGAAGCTGTCATTCGGGAATGTCTTCGTTTCTTCCCTGCCGCTTCATTCATCTACCGCCATGCTACCGAGGAAGCCACCGTACCCCTTGGCACACCCGTTATCGGCAAAAATGGCAAGCTAATGACTGAGTTCAAGATGGATACCGTCAACTTGCTGTTCATCCGTGAGTCAAATACACCCCCTCCCCCCTGACACTTGGTGGAAAGATAGACTAACAGTCATCTACTAGCCGTCCGCGCCGTCAACACATCACCCACCTTGTGGGGTCCCGACGCCGAATCGTTCAATCCCTGCCGATTCCTCGACGACGACCGCACCCCTGGCACTTGCAAAAGCTCCACCAAAGTCCCCGGCGTGTATGGCAATCTTATGACCTTTATCGGCGGTCCCAGGAACTGCATCGGCTACAAGTTTGCGTTGCAGCAGATGAAGATTCTGTTGTTTGTGCTGTTGAGAAATTTTGAGTTTAGGCCGCTGAAGAGTGGGCCGGAGATGGTTTACAAGCCTTCGTGAGTCTGTGGTCTGCTGATGGAGGGAGCGAGGGGATTGATGCAACGGGGATGGGTGGCTGACGAGGTTTTTTTTTGTTAGGGCGGTGGTGCAGGCGTTTGTCAAGGGCGAAGAGCACTTGGGGGTGCAGATTCCGTTGATGGTCATCCCCCTCGCCGGCGCTGGTCATGACAAGGATGAGTGATGGCGAGAGGCATAAAATTATTGGTATTATTTGTTGATACATGCTGGAAGAAAGAGAGGCTGGACGATACGATACTATAGAGTACCCCGATGATATGGCATGAAGACATTGCATGTGTGTGCAGAAGACGGGTGCTGCCCCGCCTTCCTGGATATGCTTCTGCCCGTCCCCGCCCACAGCATACTCGCTGAATTGCATCTCATTTCTCTTTCTCTTCTCCATCTTCTCCATCTCGTACACTACTCCATGGACACCCTCCACACCGCCCTGCGCGACCTCCCCCCGCTCTACAAATCGTCAGCCACCCTTCTCGCCCTCGCCTTGGCCACCTACCTATGGCTCTTCCCCATTGCCAACGCACGCATCCACTTCGGCGACTTGCCAAGTAAGTCCCCCTTACTCTTCCTCCTCACCTGTCAACTGGCACAGTCTAGACCCCGGCCCGGGGCCCTGGCTCCTGGGCCACGCACTTGCCAATTTCCACCCACCTTCCCCCAACGCTGCCCACATCGACCTCCATAAGACTAACGGCCACACCATCAAATACAGAACCCAGCTCGGTAGCTTTGAAGTCTCCACCATCAACCCCACTGCCATCCTACATTGTCAACAACCCCGCGTGCGAAATGAACAAGATGTCGTTCAACGACGAATTCAGATATTTAACCAAGGTCGATGAATACCTACAGTTCAGCCTCTTCCTGGCATTCTCTCCTTGTTGATAGTGAGCGTGCCAAAATTCCAGATATGTCGAATCACGTTTGGATACTCTGAGTGTCTCCATTTGCATACCCTCATGAGACTGGCATAGGATCAATAACCCCTCTCCCATTCTACCTTGTTCACAAGCGCTCTCCCATCTGCCAGCCTCCTAGCATTCTCCAACAGCACCTCCGCAGCAACATCCATTTCCCCCTCTGTGTTTCCTGCTAGATGAGGAGTAATGATACATTTTGGATGTGACCAGAGTGGGTGGCTGGGAGGCAGGGGTTCGGGGTCTGTCACGTCGATGGCGGCGCCGAATAAATTGGTGTCAAGGGCAGTGAGAAGATCGTCTGTGAAAGGTTTAGACGTGAGGTGGGTCCTTGGGAGTGGGTGGACTTACCGGAGGGGATGAGGGAGCCTCGGCCGACGTTGACGAGTACGGCGCCTTGGGGGAGCATAGCTGATGTCGATGCAAGTCAGCAAGGTATTGAAGAACATTGATACACACATACCCAGCCTCTTCTTGTTCATAAAGTATTTTGTCTCGGGCGTGTTCGGCAAAGAACAGACCAAAATATCACACTGGCCGAGGAACTCTTCCACTGCTTTGGGGTCTTTGGTAGAGTAGTACGCTTCCGGAATGGATCCTGCACTCTAATGATGAGCGCATATCCAGATAATTTAAGAGACTCACCATCCACGTCACCAGTGTGAGGCAGAATGAAACCATCTTGCGAGGTAGCTTTGCCAGAAGTGTTGGCGGCTATGATGCGCATATTGTGTGCTTTGAGTAGACGCGCAGACTCTCGTCCCAGGCATCCATATCCCTAGTCATCATATCGGCACATCGTAAGTCGCTTGTGAGGAGAGACTCACCAAAAAGCCAGCAGTACGATGGTACGTTTTCCGCGCGTAATAAGGCTTGTTGTCGATGTCGCATTCTTCCGAGGAAAGCCACCGCCTCTCATCCTATACACTATCAGCTTTGTCTGCCATTATTGTTGCTATAGGCAGTGACTTACTCTAGCACTGATTATCTGCCGAGGGAATTGATGCAACAATGCAATCACCATCCCCACCACATAATTCGGGATCGACAGGACATGCGTCCCCGCCGCCGTCGCCAGTACCACCTCCCTCCCACCCTCTTCACCCCTCTTCACCTTCCCCACGTACTCTTCTATCGAAGCGCCTCTAAGCGCCTTGTCTGCTCCAGCCGTACAAAGCTGTACAAGCTTCAAATTCGGCACCTCGTCGAAAGAGGCTTGGGGGATGCCGTAGTACGAGGTGAAGAAGATCTGGATCTTGGCCAATTCGGTGGGGGTGAAGGGTGTCGAGGAAGAAGGCGGTTTGTGGATGAAGGTGTCGAAGGATGCTTCTAGTGTCTGGACGACGTGAGGAGGAAGAGGGGCGCAGGACGCGACGGTGAAGGGCAGGCGCGCCATTGTCGAAGAGAACCTGAACGGGCGGGGTATCGATGGGGCAAATCTGGCCAATTTTGAAACCGTGTACAGGCGTTCAGTGGATGGCTGATAGTTGTAGACACGGGGTGAAGAGGAGAGCAGAAAAGACGACCAGGGATCATGGCGACTCGGCTCAAGGCAATCGGTCATGTCCGACATATTTGGTTCCCTATACAACAAAACAATCCATTACAACCCCCCTACATACAGCTCAAGACAAATTAAACAAAGTGCCTATAGCTCGGATTTTTGGGACCGTCCTTCAATGCCTCTGTAGGCACATCCTCGGACGACAATTGCACTCCCTGCTCCTGATTCCTCCTCTTGTTATCCCACCTCATCCACAAGCCCAGGCCGATGATCAAGACGAGGCCAAGTCCTTCCATACCGCAGGTGATGGCGAGAGGGATGTGGTAGGCTGGAGCCCATTTATCGAGGAAAATGTTGGAAGAGACAAGTCCACCAGCGTTTGCCAGGAAGGCTGTGGAAAAAAATGTCAGTTCAGTCAGCAGGGAGACAGACCAGGGACGTACTGAGTGCTGCCACCCTAAAAGCGCGTCCATCTTCCGTCGCATCGTTATTCTGATGCCAGGTATGGAACAGAACGGACGGCGTGAACGCCCCAGCCGTAATCAAAAATACTGCAAAGTAGCCCACCCCCACATTCGAAACCGGTATCGCCACCAATATCAGACACCCCACCATGACCCATACCAGCGCGGTAGCGAGGTGGAATGCACGTTCACGGTAGTGGTCGGATGAGTAGGAGGTGATGAGGAGGACAAGGGTACCGGTGACATAGGGAGCGACGGTGAAGAGGTTGGTTTTGACGACAGAGTAGCCGAAGCGAGAGACAATCTGGGTGAGGAAGTTGCTGGCCATGGAGGTGGCGGTTCCGTATGACAACCCTATTGCCATGTTAGCCGGGGAATCAACAGGACGTGAAGCGAGCGTACCGATACCAGCAAAGACCCAGAACTTGAAGTCCTTCACAGGCTTGAAGAAAGCGGACATGCTAAATTTTGTCCCTGTCTCCGCACTACCGTCCCTCAGGATTCTCAGTCGGCCCACTTCCTTCTGCCTCGCTGTCAAGAACCTGGCAGAGTCGAGAGACCAAGGCAGCATCACTGCCACGACCATCCCAAAGCCGACAGTAAAAGCACCTTCGATGAGGAAGAGGATTTGCCAGCCGTGCAAGGAAGATTCCATCTGGAAGACGCCGTAGGCGATGAGTCCGGAAAAGGCGCCGGAAAGGGCATTGCAAGAGTAGAAGACCGCGATACGTCTGCCGAGCTCGCCACGAGTGTAGAAGGTGGTAAGATAGAAGACCAGACTGGATGCAAAACCGGCTTCAAATGCACCCAGCACTATTCGCGGTCAGTATTGCCCAGTGATGTAGGGAAACACTCACAAATTCGTACAGCCAAAATTGATCCAAAGTTCTTGCACGCCGCACAGATGGCTGCCATACTTCCCCATCCAATCATATAACCCGGCACAGTCCATCTTGGCCCCACCTTCCTCGTGAGCATCACACCGGGAATACCGAGCAAGCAGAAGGGAATGAAGAAGATGGTGAGCATGAGAGAGTAGCCTTCGTTGGGAAAGTTGAGGTCGGTACCCATGCCGTCGGACTGGGCATTGGAAACGTTGGAACGATCGAGGGAGTTGAAGATGTATGCCCCTTGATGACTGTCAGCGATGTCTGCTTGGAGTGAAGAGGAGAGAGAGGCTTACACCACATATAGGGGAGGATGTGCCAGTCCAGCTTGCGGGTCAGGGCCCGGCTCTCTTCCTCTGTGTAATCATAGTCGGCGAGAACCTCTTGCTCTTTGACGATTGTGGGATCGATCTTGGAATCGTCTTCCACGAAAGCCTCTTTGCCGTCATCCGAGTGGGGCATTATTGCTGGAATGGTACAGAGGTAGGATATGGGAGCATTATACACGGAAATGGCTATATATGCTTCATGAATACTACCGTTATCGCCTTATCAGCGGCTTCGGCCGAGTCCTCATCGGCAGCTCATCGGCGATGTCCGTTATCATTCCGCTGTCGATAACAGAGATTTCATAGTTTCTTCGCAGAGGTTGATTACGCGGCCGTCGAGCATTGCCTGTCGCATGAAGAAGCAGTCAGCTATGATTCACTTGCCGCCTCATCGTGGACAGCCCCTGTTTTTGAAACCCCTCGCTCGAGTGAACAAGGTCCCCTCGTTGATGTCCTGCCAGAATACCTGGGCCACCATCATACCACAAGCACGCTATGTCGAAAACGAGTATTCTCTCTTCAACAGAAATATCGAATAAGAACGTCATTATCTCTTCGCCCGTCCCTGCGGACCATATTATGAGGAAGATAGTGGAGATACCCGACAGCAAAATCTGCTAAACAGCCCTATATTTGCCGCCGCCCATGATAGCTAGCTTCCCGAGATCCCGGTCTTTTAATTTGATCAATCACTTCAATGTCCCATTGCCTTCCGTCTATTGGACTGTCAGGCATATCGGCTCCCATCGACTATCTCTTCCATTGTATCACCCAACAGAAAAAGGTACAATGCCCAGTCAGCAGTTGGATATCAAGCAGGCGCTCTTGTCGTCTGATGTCACGATACAACGAGCCCGGCAGCAGGCAACAAGTCTAGGGATCACGAAGATCGGAGGAGACCATTCAGAGACGTCTTCTTGCTGTTTCCTCCATCTGTGATCACCTTGTATACAAGTGCCATGCATGATCTCTCCAACAAGGGTACATCATCTTACCAGTCTTCTATAGTATTTGCCCTCGTCGGATCGGCCTGGCCTCGCGGCGGTCGACCCCTTCGGCCCTCTCCGCCTCAACCCCTTTGTTTGGTTCTCATATACACAACGCCATCCATATATCCCATATTGCCTCCGTCTGAATACGGTACTGTGCTTGTACATATCCTCAGACAAAATGTCGATAACTCAAATTCCTCGACCCTTCCTTCAGAACCTCCGTCGGCACATCCTCACTCCCCCACTGCACCCCTTGCTGTTCATTCCTCCTCTGGTTATCTCTCCTCATCCACACTCCCAGCCCTATGATCAAGATAAGACCGAGACCTTCGAGACCGCATGTTATGGAGAGGGGGATGCGATAAGCAGGGGACCATTTGTCGAGGAATATGTTGGCGGACACGAAACCGCCTGTATTCGCCAAGAGGGCTGGGGATTGTCACCTTCGTGTGGATATGAGAGAAGGAGAGAAGACGTACTGAATGTAGCGACTCTGAAAGCGCGTCCGTCCTCTGATGATTCGTTGTTCTGATGCCAAGTATGGAACAATACCGGCGGCGTGAACGCCCCTGCCGTAATCAGAAACACTGCAAAATACCCCACTCCCACCCTCTCCACCGGGATCTTGACCAACACCAAGCACCCCGCCATAACCCAGACCAATGCCGAAGCTAAATGAAAAGCGCGTTCACGATAATAGTCGGATGAATAGGATGTGATGAGGAGGACTATGGTACCGGTGATGTAAGGAGCGACAGTGTAGAGGTTGGTTTTGACGGTGGAGAAGCCGAAGCGGCCGACGATCTGGGTGAGAAAGTTGCCGGCCATGGAGGAGGCGCAGCCATATGTCAATGCTAGTAGTGTGTCAGTTGAGCAATTGGTCAAGAAGGTGTGAAGCTGCGTACCGATACAAGCAAATGCCCAAAACCTCTTGTCTTTCAAGGGTTCAAAGAACGCCTTGGAATCAAACTTTGTCCCCGTTTCAGAACTTCCATCCCTCAAAATCCTCATCCTCCCCACCTCCTTCTCCCTCTCACTCAAGAAACGTGCAGAATCGATAGACCAGGGCAGCATTACAGCTGTGACCACCGCAAAACCAACAGTAAAAGCGCCTTCAATGAGAAAGAGGATTTGCCAACCGTGGAGGTATGATTTCATTTGGAAGACACCGTAAGCGATGAGCCCGGAGAATGCCCCAGATAGGGCGTTGCAAGAGTAAAAGACGGCGATGCGTTTGCCGAGCTCGCCACGGGTATAGTAGGTTGTGAGGTAGTAGATCAAGCTTGCTGCGAAGCCTGATTCAAAAGCTCCCAGCACTATGACTTGTCAGCACCGCTTTCTCCGTGTAAAAAAGTAGAGGACTGACATAATCTGACAGCCAGAACCCCGCCAAAATTCTTACACCCCGCATTGATCATGGCCATACTCCCCCACCCTATCATATACCCCGGCACGGTCCACCTGGGCCCGACCTTTCGCGTCAACATCATGCTCGGTACCGCCAACAAGCAAAACGGCACGAGAAAGATGGTGAGCATGAGAGAATAGCCTTCGTCGGGAAAATGGAGGTCGGTGGTCATGCCGTCGGATTTAGCGTTGGATACGTTGGATCGATCGAGAGAGTTGAATATGTATGCCCCTATTTGAATGTTACCATGGTAAAGAATGGGAGGTGGAATGGAAAAAGGGGACCTACACCAGAGGTAGGGGAGGATGTGCCAGTCGAGTTTGCGGACGAGTGCCCGGTTTTCAGAGTCGGTGAAATCATATTTGACGAGAATGTCTTGCTCTACAATAGACGTGAAAGTGTCGGGGTTTTCGTCCACAAAGACGTCTTTGCTGTCGTCTGGGTATGACATCGTCGCCAAAATGAATCAGAATCAGAAGAAGTGGGGGACCGCCGTGAACGACCATGTCTATTTGTGGACGGCATGCTGCTGGATCACGCAGCCTCGGCAAAATACCCCTCGGCGTCTTAGATGACTGAATGAGAAGCGTAATACGCGACTTTTCGACATATGACAGCCCGGCTGAATTGAAAGAGATGATGAGCGATCTCGTTACCATGGCAAAAAGGATTAGCGTTATCATATCTCAGTTTCTACTTGCGCGCATCGGACGCCAGCCACCTTTATCGTTTTCGTTTATACAGAGCAAGCTTCTTGAATGTATGCATAGTGTACATAGGCTCCTTGGTCTCAGCCCATGACTGGCATCCATACACCATGCATAGAGCAGACCACCAAAAGAGGCTTGTTGGCTGAAGCGACTTTGCCGGCGGCCGGGTGTTTTCGAGCCCAGGCACGCATGATCACGCATCACGTCAACTCTGTTGTAGTTTTACAAATTGAGTGTATTTGTTGCTCTCGTCTCCAGCACATTGCAGAGAGTCTTTATGAACGTTTCTTCTAGCACACACAGCAGGACGCGCAGTGTACGCCTGTCCCCACTCGCCATCCACCGCGCTCTCCGCCGCCCCGCCTTTGCTCTAGTAAACTTGCTGCCTTTCGGTGTCCCGACCAGCCATCCTAGACCCTTCGCTTTTTCGTCGACTTCTGAGTGACCAGTGCGCGACTTGAGTATACTGTCTACGTCCAACATTGGTAGATTCGGTCCAGATCACTACAGAAACCGATGACAACACCCAACAGCCACATCGCCATCGTCGGAGCAGGTACGTTCCCATCTACCATCGCTCTATTTCTCCAATACCTGACTTATCTTCTCAGGTATCTTTGGTCTCACATTATCTCTCAATCTCAAACAGAGAGGATACAAACATGTCACTGTATTCGACGAGCAATATCATGAAGAAGAGGACGAGTATAATGTACACGGGGACAGGGATGTAGATGCGGCGTATCGTTATTCCCGGTAGGTTCTTGAAGCTTTGACTGCTATCCATATGACTAATGAGAGTACATTAGGAGCAAGACAACCCACGAAACACTCAATGGAAGCTCCCTCCCACTCTGGAAACAGTGGAACACCCAAATCGCCTCCACCCCCGCGCACCTCCTTCCCCCAGGGCTCAATCCTTCCGACAGGCTATTCTCCCCTTGCGGCTTTCTCAGTGTCAGCGGAGGGTTGACACTGTCTGCAAAGGATAGAGTTACAGTAGATGCTCATAAAGCCGCCGGTGGGAGGGGCACCATATACGTGATCGTGAGTAACTTTTGGCAATACCATGAACGAAGGCAAAAACTAAAGTTTTTGGATACAGCGCGACCCGATAGATATGGCGCGTCTCCGAACCAGCACATCCCTCAACCCCTCCTCCTCCCATTGGATCCAAAAGGCCCAACTATTCGACCACCCCCACCCCGATCCTATCCATCCCCTAACGAACGGTTTCCTAAACATCTCATCCGGCTCCACCAACGCCCCAAAAACTAAACTCTGGCTCCGGCACCTCTGCTCCCAAGCTGGTGTCAACTTTATCTCTGGTGGGTCTAGAGGGAAAGTGGAAGAAGTGCTTTGTTGGGAGGGTGTGAGGAGGAGTCGGAGGGGGAGTCGGGAGGGGGAGGGGAAGACGAAGAAAGTGAGGGCGGTGAAGACGGGGGATGGGAAAGTGCATGAAGCAGATTTCGTCATCTTGGCTTGTAAGTTCCATCTCTTTCAGCTCGTGGTGTGCGTACTGATTTGGATAGGTGGGGGGTGTACGCCGAGTTTGGTACCAGAAGTAGATGAGCTGGTAGAACGGACGATGGGGTCGGAGGTTATTATCCAATTACCGACAGATCGGCCGGATTTGTGGGACAAAGTGAGTGTCTTGTCTGATTGCGTCTGCGATATAAGATGGGATGGTGGCTGATGATCTCGATACAGTTTTCGTCAGAGCGGTGTCCGGCTTGGACATACAGACTCGCATCGACGGGCGGTATCGATCGAGGCAGGCAAGTCCACATTTCACGTTCATGCTGGATTGACCTGACATGATTCCTGAACAGGTTCTACGGATCTCCTAGAAAAGAAGATGGTACAATCACATTCGGATGTACGTCTAGCATCTGATCGAAAAGGGCATGATCAGGGCGAGGAAGGCTGACAAGAAGCCAGACCGTAATAGTCCAAAACCCACCAAACCCCCTCTCTCCCAATCCCCTCTAACCACCAAATCATCATTCCCCATCCCCCTCCCACTCTCCAGCCCCAACACCCTCTCAAACCCCATCCCCACCAGCTCCAGACCTCAAACCGCCCGCAATCACTCTAAACCTCTCCCGACCTCTCTGCCCATACCCACGTTGCTCATCATCCGGAATGCCATCTCGCAGATATTCCCGGAGTTGAGAGGGGTGGATGTGAATGTGGTGGATACGAGGATGGGGTCGTATACTGATTTGGTCAGGCCCGGGTCCAGCGCCCGGGGAGGAGCGGGAGGAGGGAAGGTGGCGGATTGGGCGCCGGGGTATGATGGGTTGTTTGTGGTTTTTGGGCAGGATGAACAAGGAGCTGGAGGGTTTGTACCAGATCTGGGAAAAGTAAGCGCATTCCGTTTTAGACGGGTGGGAGGTTTGCTTATAGTGATGGTGATGTACGATTGCAGGACTTGTTCGAATCCCTCGAAAAACGAGCCAACCCCTTCCCATGGCCCTCCGACTCCCTCCCCATCCGCACTCCCACACCTCTCGCCCTGCCCACCCCCAATCCCCTTCCCAGCCCCGTATCCTACTCGTATCCAAGCACGGGGTACCAAGACCATCAACGGCACAATAGCCTCACGGGGGCAGATCCATACGCTTATTCCCACGGCTTACCGTCTTTCACCGGATACCCGGACCATTCGACGGGTCTGTTGAGCCATCATACGCTTACAGATGTGCATACTGCGGCTGAGCATAAGGGGGTATTCCCGCCCTTTTCTCCTGTATCGGCTCTCCGCCACTCTGCCGAACCACCTCCTCCTTCTTACTCGCATCCCGCCCAGGGCCGCGGGCATGATGTTGGAGGAGGAGAACATTTCAACCCCTCGCCCTCGCAGCAGCAAGCTCAGCAGGGGTACGAAGATTTCGAAAACTTTGAAGCTTTAGGCGGACTGGAAGGGCTGGCTATGGTGGCTGCGGGAGGAGAGTTGAAGAGGGAACGAGAGAGGGAAGAAGAGAGGGAGAAGAGGGAGAGGGAGAGGGATGATTGGGTATGGGCGAAAGTGGAAGCTGCGGCGGGGCTTGCTAGTGCGATGGTCAATGGGAGGGTGACTTGATGTGGAAAGTGGGGACAGGGCAGATGCTATGTACAACAGCTATAGAGTGCACATGTTTGCTGTTGAGTGATGTGTTTCTCTTGATACTGCCTTTAGTGCTTGTTGTTTACAGGCTGAGTGGTGATGGGTATTTTACGAGGACCAGCGAGTAGGATGGCACCATGCCCCTGGTTAGCGGATTCTGCTGGACCTCAACTCCAACACGATGTCATGTATCTCGTACGATAAAATCATGTTTGTTCACCTTGCCGGGCAATGGTGGCATTGTAGTAGCCCACAAAAATGTTTTTCCTTTCGTCATCGACCGGCAAACATCTCCGTGCAGTTACTACCAGCAGCAGCAGCAGCAGCAAGAAAAGCCTGATAACCAGATGAAAGGACCAAAGTGAAAGCGTGGGACTTTGCTTCCATTCCATATCTGAACTCCGCAGCCGATGAGCTTTGTGAAAGCGGTGGGAACGGGTCCCGCAAGGTCGCATCATACTTTTGACAGTATCACGGACACGTACGTTTTCTCATCAGCGTGAGGTTGTTCAAATACCGATTTTAAAGTACGTTCATCATCCTATGACAATGTATAGGAGTAGTGGTAAGCATACCTTAGTACTTTGATCATTTTCGTCTACTTCTCTACTGCGCCATACAAAGCGTTGCACAAAAACAGTCGGCATAAAATGAGTACCGGTAATACAGGAACAGACATAACCATTGATGAAGTGGACTATATCGACGGACAGGGGACTTGTTTCCGAATCGTCGGTGAAAGTGTACGTCTTGCGCTGCTCATACATCAACATCATCAACTAAGAGTGATGGTCACGTGGCTAACATCGCATTCTCAACAAGACTGAAGTGGACGAACATGGTCATCCGGTAGCGCAATACGAACGAATCCCATTACCAGACCTGATGTGGTGGGAGGGTGGCGGCAGGGGCAAGAGTAGAAGGAGAATCACGCTGTCGGAAAGGAGTGAACTCGATCAATGGCGGGTTCGCGCCATCAGTATGTCCATTATATAAGATGTCCTCTCCGGGTCTAGCCTGGTGGGGTTGGCGGCTCCGTGCTCACGTAACATAAATAGACAGTCATAGACAAGCCACATTCAGAGTCCGGAGGAAAACCCGGCAACAAGAAACAGACGCCGAACGCGTTGAATCCCACATCCAAGCCTTTGGCGTAGCGGGAGCCTACGAGCCCTCTGCAGCCTCGGGAGAACCTTCCTCTTCTCAGCAAGCCGGTATGACCAACGAGCAAATGATGCAGTTCTACAACAGCATGACCCCGGAGCAGCTTCAGTATTATGGAGGCTATGACACCCAGTACGGTGGTAATAGTAGCATGACGCTTCCGTCTCAGCAAGAAATGGAGATAATGGGTCAAGTGTACGGCGAGACGATGGGTAATCAGCCTTCGTCAATGGCCAGCTATAATCCAGAGCTGGATGATGAGTCTGCACTTGCACAGCGGTTTAGAGAGCTATATGGTGGCAGAGCAGCCAAATAGGAAAGAAGAAGCGTAGCAATAAATAGTGGCAGGTAGGGATGGTCTGGAAAATGCGTAAGGATGAGCCTAGCGGCGTATGAATGGTGTTGATGACCGCTTTGAAACTCGCCTTCATCCAATATCCCATGACCCAAAAGTCCAGTTCAGAACGCCTCATCATCCTACGCCAATCTGACCAACATGCTCACCATAGCACCATAATAGTAAGTGAAGCCTCAGTAAGACAATCGTATAACATATCTGGTAGCAATCAGACCGGTTTTACCAGCACCCCGAAAAGAAGCTGCCCCGAACTCTGCCCGAACTCGCGTGTCGTGATGGATCATAGTAGACTTTCGGTGCCGACAGGCTGTTTCTTGATTTCTTTGATGGAAAAGCTTGGTGTAAAAGCTAAGGGAGAGACAAGCGACGGACAACGCCAAATTAGTACGAGTGTTGACGATGGGCATTGGATGGGCAGGCAGTGTCAGGGCAGTATTCAGTATTAGTATTATTAGCGGGAGCAAATGGGGGATAGAAAAACATCCGCGTGACGCCGTCCAAATACAACTCGCGGCAACGAACTCTTCCTGAACTCTTCTCTTTCTCCATCTCTTCTGCCCATCTCTATTCCCACCAGCACCCCCTCAATATGTCCAACGATTGGTGGTCCACCCCCTCCCGCACCGCCCCCACCCCCAACCTCACCCGCTCCCAATCCCTGCGCCAATCCCGGTACGCCCCCACCGCTGGCGACGAGCTCGACCCCGAAGACGCCAAAGCCGCCGATGCCATCAAATTCTTGCCTTCTTTTGCGTCGTCCCAGGCGGGCAAGATGACGCTGGGGACGAGCCCGACGGGGGGGATGAGTACGTATGGGGGGTATGTGGGGAGTCCGCAAGGGGAGAGGAGGAGTCCGCAGGGGAGATTGAGTGGTTCGGTGCATGAGGCGTGAGTGTGTTTTTTCTGTGGAGGGGGGCCGAATCACGGGGGAACGATTTTCTTGGTGCTTGCCATTGGTGAAGTTTGGATGACGATGTCCCCAACGGGCGTTATCGATTGTATGGCAGACGAGGGGCTCGTGTCTCTGGCCTGACCATGACCATACACCGAATGTCGCAAAGAATACTCTGCTGACAGATATATGCAGAAACTCTCCACGACACACCACCCGGGCACGAACGCTGGCCCACCAGAGCGGCGTACTCGGCTCCTCGTACAACCCCAACGCCATGGACGAAGATATGCCCCCGACAGCCAGCCTGAGAGATAGCGTGACTGACACGAGGAGCGCACCTGTGCTCGCCACCAACGAGTGAGTATCATGTTCAAGTACCTGAACTGTCTCTGATGATATGCAGACTCCCGACGCCACCATCGCTCATCCCAACGCGCACCACCACCTCCCTCTACATCTTTGGCCCGCCCTCCGCCATCCTCTCCACCCTCGAGCCCTACCTCGCCCAGTTTGGCACTGTCCAATCCTACCATCCCGGCCCCGAAGGCTCCAACTGGTACATTGTCGAATTCGCCACCCCCCTCGCTGCATCGTACGCTCTCCGGCGCCACGGTGACATCGTCCAAGGCAAGTGGATGATCGGCTTCAAAGTCGGCAATGGAGGTAGTATGGAGGGGTTCAATGCTGGAGCAGTAGCGGAAGGAGGCGAGGCTGTGGTGGTACCCCCACCGGCTGCTGGGACGCCGATCAGGGTGCAGAATGCGTCAATTTTGAGGCCGAAGCCGGTACCGCAAGCTGTGGTGAAGGCGGCCAAGAGTGGGAATGAGTATGCGTGGGATGAGCCGGAGGGGCAGCCGGGGTGGACGGGATGGGTAACGGAGAGACTGGTGAGTACTTTACAACGTACGAGGAAAGAGTCTTGTGCTGACTGTGGAATAGTTTGGGAGATGATGCGCTTCTGCACGATATCAAGTCGACTAGCTGCAGTATGCATATAGGCATGGCACTGTCCCAGCATCCCGTACCACCATGTATTGGCTACAAGTACTTGGGGAGAGGCGTTTCGCGACCTCTGTACGCATCTGGATTCCAATTCCTCACGGGCCTTGTTTTTGCTTCCTTCTGTGAGGTTTGCGCCACGTCTATATATCTCCTCAGTTCTATCTCCATTTCTCTTCTGCATCTCCATCTCGCTCGCCATGGGCACCCTCGATGGCCTCACCGCCCACCTCCCCTCCGCCCTACGCGACCTCCCCCCGCTCTACATAGCCTCAACCACCCTCATCGCCCTCGCCTTGACGATTTATCTCTGGCTGTTCTACATCGCGTATGCGCGCATCCCCTTTCGTAACCTGCCTGGTACGTCCAACGCACATCGCCCCTTCGCATACACTGACGCCTTTCAGATCCCGGACCCGGGCACTGGCTCCTGGGTCACGTACCATCCTTCTTTGCCGCCGCGTCTGCCAACTCTTTCCACGTCGACTGGCACAAAGCCCACGGCCACACTCTCAAGTACCGAACCCAGCTCGGCTCCTATGAGGTCTCCACCATCGACCCCACCGCCATTGCGTACATCCTCAACCACCCCGATATGTTTGACAAACCACCTGCCGTGCGAAAGTGGTTACAAGCCAGGATCGGTGGCTATACTATCTTTGCGACGTCTGGGGATCATCACAAGCAACAGAGAAAGGCTTTGGGTCCGAGTTTCACGCCAGCCGCCATCAGGGATCTCGTGCCAGTGTTCTACGACGTCGCTTACGAGCTCAAAGACAAGTTTCACACTCTGGTCGCTGGCAAAGACAAGACCAAACTCGCACCCTCCCCACCCAAGCCTATTGACGCCGTTCCAGGCGGCGCAAAGATCAACGTCCTCAAGTATCTCAACATGGCCACTTTGGACAGCATGGGACTTACAGGGTTCGGATACGCCTTCGACTCCTTGTCCGAAGATGGCAATGGGCAGAAGAACGAGTTTGCAGAGTCCTGTCGCGAGTTTGTCGCTGCTGCTACCCAATTGACAATGGTCGACTATGTCATTGAGCAGTACATGTTTAAGATTGTGAGTCACTGCTGCCGTCATCTTCGTCACAGCTTATGCCTTTGGGTAGCCCTCGAAAAGGGAGAACTTCATCAAGAGAAAAAGGCAACAGATTCTCGAATTTTCCACGGTGAGCATCTCATTTACGCCCGTGAATCCAACCTGACGTCGCTTTCTAAAGAAGCTTGCCGAAGAAAAGAAACACGATATCTGGGAACAGACCTACGGAGAAGGTATCGCGAAGAAGCAAGACGTTGGGAAAGACCTTCTTTCACTTCTCAGTGAGCATATTCATTGACGTGCATCTTGCAAACAGCTGACATCTCCTAGTCAAAGCCAACATTGCATCCGACTTGACACAAGACGAGCGTTTGGACGATCAAGATGTCGCGGATCAGATTGAGACCTTTGCAAGTCTCATTGTGGTCTGGCGAGATCTCGGTGATTGATGGTTATGCTTGTAGCTGCTTGCTGGAAGCGAGACGACTGCTGTATCTGTGTCCACCTTCCTCCGTCTTCTCTCCAAGCACACCGACGTGCAAGATCGACTTCGCAAAGAGCTCATGTCGGTCACCGAAGACCGCCCTTCCCCGTATGTTCTCTCGCTACTGAGACTGAAGGAGACGAGCTGATATCAAGAATTTAGGGAAACGCTGAACAACCTTCCCTACCTCGAAGCCGTCACCCGTGAATGTCTCCGCCTCGCCCCCGCCGCTCCATTCGTCTTTCGCAGCGCGGTCGAGCCCGTCATCATTCCCCTCGGCACACCCATGATTGGCAAAGATGGCCAGCTGATGACTGAATTCACCATGGATACAGCCAGTCAGATATTCCTCCGTGAGCCGACTATATTTTCCTACTGATTCTCTCATACTGCGAGTCATCCTACTGATATCACATAGCCGTCCTCGCGATCAACACATCCACCACCCTTTGGGGCCCGGACGCCGAAACTTTCAACCCCGACCGCTTCCTCGACAGATTTGCCGGAGTGAACCCCAAGATACCAGGCATCTACGGCAATCTTTTGACCTTTTTGGGCGGTCCCCGTAACTGTATCGGCTACCGATTTGCTATTCAGCAGATCAAGATTATGTTGTTTGTCTTGTTGCGAAGCCACGAGTTTAGAGAGTTGAAGAGCGGGCCGGAGGCTTTGATGAAGATGTCGTGAGTTTTTTTTAAAAAAAAATACCATTCTCCGAGGCTCCTCAAGTCGTGGTGATGCCCTGGAATGGTTGCCAATGATGTTTTGGATGCTGACGGAATGTCATGTAGGCCGGCGGTTCAACATTTCATCAAGGGCGAAGAGCACCTGGGCGCACAGATTCCTTTGATGGTCGTTCCGCTCGAATGATCGTGAGGCGGCAAGGAGGGCTTTGTCGAGAGACGTTGCCGTGGCTTTTTGCGGATTCTCGATTTATGTATATACTCATATGAGAAAGCGGGATCGGAGGAGTCTTAGTTTCAACCAGACAATGCACAAAGTTCACATATATGTCTTGGTTTCATAGATTTATTGATGTTTTATGCAGTATCTTTACCACTACCACTCTATGTGTCGAGCATGGGGAGATGTGCTGGCTCCGCCGCCAGCTGCTGGGATACCGAATAGGGTGCAGAATGCATCGGTCTTGAGGCCGAAGAGGTATATACTTTGCACGCATCTGCAGAGGAGTCTGGAGAGACATTTTGTCACGTTGACTGACAACTTTTGCGGTCAACCGTTTTGAAACGTACGAGCTGATAGCCCACCCTCTACAATCGCTTCTGCTTCCAACCCAACGCTTTGATCCAAGACAACGAGCGATAACGATTGCATTTCTCCTACCCGACCTTTTTAATCCACATACTGCACTCGCTCTTCCTCAGCTACGGGGTCGGTAACGATGAGACAGATTGACGATACATATGGTATCGGGCGTCATGTTGTATATAGCACAGACAAGCATCGGTACAGCCAACAAGTGTATTTGGTTCTGCCAACAAGCACGGGGGGGGAAAATAGCAAAAAGTTGGCGCCACCCGGGATCGAACCAGGGACCGCACGAATGGAATCCAGCAAGTATTGAACTTCAGTCGTGCGCTCTCCCAACTGAGCTATGTCGCCTTTTATTAAGACATTGGGGTTTATCCAATCTCTATCATCATGCATGGTGTGCCACTTTTTTTGACTGCTTGAACATGACTTGAATGGATACTGATACATATGTCAATGTCCGGCAATGCATACCCTAGGGTTGTCACTCAACAACGGGCAAAGCTGGCCAGCGCCCATCTGCGGGGTTCACCGCCTCAAGGCTCGTTGTCGCTTGTTGTTGTTCCTGGTGACTCTGAGATTGTTATTGTTCTCTCTTTCTTCTCTTACCTGTCCACGACGTGCCCCCACGCCTCCAATATTCACCCTGCGATCTCAGATTCCCCTCCTCTTCCTCTCTCTTCCCGCCTCCTACATTGGCGTACCCCTCATTGCCCAGCGTTTCCCTGTACGACCATCAGCTGCACCGGCCTCCCGAGCGCTCCGCCTCTACTGGGTATTGGCGAGCTCAGTACAGCATTCTCACCTTCATCAGCTACATTTTCTGCCAGGGGAGTGCATGGGTCCAATCCCATCATCTAGGTGATCCCTTTGGCCATTCCTTTCACTAAAACCAGACCCCAGTGATCAGCCTCGTTTTACGTGTCCTCCCGAGGTTTCATGTAGGTCGACAAGCGGATCTCGCGCATGATGCTGATTTTCCTGGAACAGTGAATTTGTCTGTCAATGCCAGACTCTCTCCTAGCTCAGCGCCAGCCTCCAAGATCACATACAAACCCCGGCGCATCCCTGTCTGCCCAGATCAGCAAGGAGCGCAGTCCCATCATGTCCCAGCCACACCCCTACGCGATCCCGCCTCGTGATGTCTACAGAGACTTTCCCTCCTCTCTCCCATCTGCCGCCGCTTCCTCTTCGCGGTCCCCTACTCCATCGGTCTACATATCTCCCCCGGGACAATCCTTCCGAAGCTACCTCGAACGATGGGGTCCCAACGAAGTTGCCGCGTGGCTCGAGCACTACAAAGTCGGCCAGTACGCCAACGAATTCCAGAAGAACAGTTTGGTGGGAAAGACATTGCTGGATATTGATGTTGGGATCATGAAGGAGATAGGGATGAACAGGCTGGGAGATAGGGTCAAGCTGGCGGCGGCGCTGAAGGAGCTGAGGAAGAGGGCGGCAGAGATGGGAACGGCGAGCCGGATGGGAAGCCCGAATGTACACCTCTCCCCGATGTTGTCGAGGGTGGAACTCGAGAAGCCTCCCTTGCCCTCGTCGTCCACCCGTACCCAGGCGAGTCGCGCGGGGGCAAACCCGACGAGGCGGCTAGATATGTCGAGACCACCGCCTCTAGACCTGAAAGGTTACTCGCCTTCCCGTGCTTTACCACAGGCGTATCAGACGAACTACGCTTCGACCCCTCCTCATCGTTCCAACTCTGTCCACTCACCACAAGCTTCCCAACCCTCGCATTCTGTCCCTGCCCCGAATAGAGCGCCTATGAACCTCCGCGCTCCTCCACGTCGAGAAGGCGGACGCCGGTCACCCAGCCCGATCAATCCACCCGACTCTAGTCATTCTAGCCATGACCGCCTCGAACACTCTTCAGCCGCCGAGTATGCCAGTATGGTCGCTCGAGAGCAAAGGCACGATAGCCTGTCTACGCCCACGGTCCGTGCGTTCCAGGAGAGATCGCAAGGAAAGCCTCCCCCTAGAGGCGATTCGTTGTCTAGGTCGGGTAGCGGCCAGAGCGGGCCGAGTAGTCCTCAGAAGAAGCAGTTCTTGCCGGCGAATCCGAGGCCTATCAATCAGCAGAATGGGAAACATCCTTACGCTGTGAAGAAGGAGCAAGACGGGGAAGCTTCAAGGACCCCCGTTCGACCTTCCGTCTCCCGCCAGCCGAAGTCTACGGGTACGCCGAATGCCATCTCTTTGAACGACCTCCGTCGTCAGCTGGTCAAGTTTGTGAATGTCGAAGATGGCACTACCAGGACGGTCAATGTCGTCCAAGTAGCCAGCGGTGTCGAGATTCTGGAGAGGGCGCTGAAGAAGTTTGGGAAGTGGGGGACAGGGAAGGCGACGTACAAGGGGATAGACCATGAGAGTGATGATGAGCATGAGGGGCATCTGGAGATTGATGGCTGGGGAGTTTATGTGGAGAGCAACCCGGATGAACGAGGTGAGTTTGACATTCTCTACTATTTTGTCGGGTCTGACAAAAGCAGCAAAACCTCTATCCGAAAACAACCTCCTCAACATCTGTGTAGCACACCGAGACGGAACTGCCATCCGCGACAAAGAGCTCTTCCTTCACCAAGCCCGCCCCCCACAACGGCGCAAGAACATCCACGACTTCTTCGGCGACGTGCCTCCTCCTCCCATGTCCCCTGCATCCCCCAACTTCTTCCCTGGCCCTCGACTGGGCATAACGACCGACAAGCGCTCCCCAATGTCTCTTGATGAGCCGGGCAGCGCGGGGAGTGGTCCTCTGTCGGCGCTCAAGCCGTCAGCTCTGTCGAATAAGCGCCTGAACAGGGCGAGTATGATTAGTGTCATGTCTGGCCTTGGAGTACCGAATGTCGAGGTGCCACCTTCGCCTTCCAACACTCGTTCACCGGCTTCAGGCACGCCGTCGTACAAGAAGAAGTCGATGTACAACTTTTTCGGACATCGACCGCCTTCCGAGCTCATTTCGAGCCACTTGACAGACTATTTCCCCGGTGCGAAAAAGAGGGATGTGGAAAAGGCGAGGCATAGTTTGCTGCGGCTCAGTTCTGGGCCGAAGGCGAGGTGGCAAGACCAAGCAGAGATGCCTGCGGTGGTACCCGGGAAGGGAGAAGAGATCATCTCTGAGGAAGTGGTGTCGAGTGGGAATAGGAGAGGGCCGCGGATCAGTCAACCGCCTTCGCTACCCCCGTTTGAACCCCAAGACTCTCTTACCGACTCTCTCCAAGCCTTCTCTCCTCAAGAGCCGTCTTATCCCCGCCCCAAATCGATCCGCATGCGCAAAAACTCTTCCTCTTCATCCTCTGGTCTTGGCAATGCGGCTAGGAGGATGTCGGTGCTGTCGCAGCTGAGGAGGAATAGAGACAAGAGCGATACGGCCAGTCTGCTGACGGTGGATGAGATTACCGCGGAGGTGGAGCAGAGGAGGGCGAGTATGGTCGGTGTTCCAGGTATACAGGTTGGGGAACATGAGGGCGAGGTTGGGGAAGAAGCGGAGGAGGTTCTCGAGGAGCTAGTGACGCCGAGGGCCCCGGCGGACGTGAAGAGTGATGGGGAAGTAAGCGAAGACAGTGAGAGTGAGGAGGAGAGTAGTGAGAGTGAGAGCGAAAGCGAGAGTGATAGTGAGAGTGAGGTGGAAGATGAAGACGAAGCGGATCACGGAAAGGCGTTCACATCCACAGGCTGTGAGTACTCGTCTCTTCGGACAAGATCCCAGGCTGACACTCATTCAGCTAAACGAAACATCAAATGGATCAAAGGCGCCCTCATCGGTGCCGGATCCTTCGGTAGCGTCTATCTCGGTATGGACGCTCATAATGGTCTTCTCATGGCCGTCAAGCAGGTCGAACTGTCTACTGGGAGTCAGAAGAATGATGAGCGGAAGAGAAGCATGCTGTCGGCATTGGAGAGGGAAATAGGGCTGTTGAAAGAGCTGCAGCACGAGAATATCGTGCAGTATCTAGGTAAGTCTGTTCTCACCAAGCTTTTAGGCATCGCTGACGGACACAGACTCGTCTGCCGATGCCAACCACCTCAACATTTTCCTCGAGTATGTTCCCGGTGGTTCGGTCGCCGCTCTCCTTAGCAATTACGGCGCGTTCGAAGAGGCTCTCGTCCGAAACTTTGTGAGGCAGATTTTGACCGGTCTGAACTATTTGCACGAGAGAGATATTGTGCATAGGGACATCAAGGGGGCGAATATATTGGTAGACAACAAAGGCGGTATCAAAATCTCAGACTTTGGTATCAGTAAGAAGGCCGAAAACAGTGAGTCCGTTTCCTATCGTATGTTGCTCTTCACCGACACCCTGCAGGCATACGGACCAATCGACCATCCCTTCAAGGATCTGTCTTTTGGATGGCTCCCGAGGTCGTCAAGCAAACGTCGTACACCTCAAAAGCGGACATTTGGAGCGTGGGATGCTTGGTGGTGGAAATGTTGACTGGGACACATCCTTGGGCGGATTTGACGCAGATGCAGGCTCTTTTCCGGGTACGTCCTTTCTCTCTCCGCTGCAAGCGCATCAGCTAATGACGTGCGTAGATCGGACAAATGTCCAAACCCGCCACGCCAGCCGACGTCTCTCCCGAAGTCGCCGATTTCCTCGACAAGACGTTCGACTTTGATCACACCAAACGACCTACTGCTCCGCAGTTGTTGGAGTGTTCGTTCATGAAGACGCCTGTCGATAGTGGAGCAGGTGGGGCGGCAGAAACGGGATCAGAGGGCGGTATAGAGAGGGCGCAGGCTCAGATGATGGTTGTGGGGACGCAGATGCAGCAGCAGGCGAAAATGAGGGGGATGATCTGATGCCGTGTTGTCAATGACGAATATGAGGTTGAGGCGTGAAACGATTATGTCAACTAGGATCCAACGAACGTTTACAGGACTGTATCTGCGTGACAGTGTTTGTAAACGATCATTAATGTATTCGAGCAGTGGTACGCTTTCATACGGTTATCCGATGCTGACGTGGAAGGCTTTGCACCGTCATGCGCCCTAACCTGCAATATGCCGGCGGTCGACAACATGATCTGTGGGATGTCATGGCGCTGATCAGGAGTGATTGCAGTCATGGTATGGTCGGCCTGACAGTTTCTCTGACACGAGTCGCTTAGGTTGGGTGGGGGCGTCGCGATAAGAAGAGTTGCTGGTCAGATATATGAAGGGTCTCAGGTTTCGTATTTATCACCTGTACTCTGGACTAACCCGTTTCTGTTAACTGACTGACAACAATAGACCTGCCCTCATCAAACGCGACTACGTCACACTATGGTGCACCTAGTCTCTTAACTTGTCAACACCGATAACGAGACATATGCAAGTCGTCCATCCGCTAGGGACCTTTACGCCATTTAGGATCTCTTCGTCCATCGAGCATCACGTCACCACTGCGTGAAGTTCGACCTTTACAAGTGCATCACCCATCTCATATGTCATATAATCACATGTATCTATGAACCGAGTATCATCTTCCTATCCTCCTTCTTTCTAAATCCCACATTTCAAATACAGTCCCAGCCTTGACTTTACCTTCCCCTGGACCTTTATATATGCCCCCTCGTCTGCCCGATGATTGTTGATCGGGAGAAACGAGCTGATGTCAATCTTTGCATACAGGAGCCGATGTATGATCATTGCGTGCTAACAATCGATTCGAGATCCCGCGTGCACAATCTACTCTGGCGGATCAGGGAGTTCAGTTACCCCTGCTTCTTGTAAAGCCCGAACCGATTCATTCCATGTCCCGAGCAGCTCTTGAAACTCTGGACCTTTCTCTCCCCAGGTCTCTTCATCATACAGCTGCCTGATCCTGTTACTGGCGACTCGTACCTCGTACATCTGCCTCTCAGAGATAGCTTCACTATTTCCTTGATGTCCTTGAATGTCCTCGAGAGCGCCTTCGTTGAGGTCGACAGAGGTGATCAACGACCGTATAGCACGTGTGTCGGCCATCTGGGCGGGCACAGTGATTGGCGGAACCCCCGCCAGATGCATTTCCGCCCTACTGTCATCACGATCAGCAGTGGCGGCAGTCGCATCTTGAAGCACGATTGGGGAGACATTACTCCCCGGACGAGTGCGATTCAAGGTCCAAGAAGCGATATAGGAGCGTCTGTTCCAAAACGAGCATGTCACCTTTTCCACATCACTCAGGACGACGTCCGGGCGGCTTTGTTCAAAGCCGGCAATGACTCTGCGGTTGATAGTGGCTGCCTTTCGGATCCAGCGAGGCCCACTTGGAGATAATTTCAGCATCTCATGGCCATAGAATCAAAAACAAAATGAGAGGAGGACGCACCTTGATGGGCGCGTCTGCAGAAACGACAATTGTTGACGTGACCACGCCGTCAATTTAGCAGACTCCTCTAGTCCCGTAATAACCTCATCAACATGTGTACGCCAGCTGTCCACCGGGGGTCGCGCTTTCTCCATTTTATCCGCCGAGGGTTCCGCCAGTGCCACGTTCTCCTGATCTTCCGGCCATACGAGGTCGGTGTCCATATTATCGGCGTATACCTGCCTAGAGGCGGAGAGAAAGTGTGGGATATCGGTCGGTAATGAGGTGTAGTCGTTGGTAGAGGGGTCGTAGAAAATAAAGTTACATTGATCGACCTCTTCGTCGCTCAATATCATGGGATCTTTGTTTGTGTTGGACATTGTGAAATTTGGGTTGTGTTACTGTATGCGTCAACATTGCCGGTTGTTTCCTTGCCTTTTATGTGCTTGTCCTCCCGTAGATGTATCTCCGTCCCGTACAGATAGTTCTGCCTTTGTATCCAAAGAAGACCAACTCGCGACGACGCTCTAAATGTGCACCACGACTGAACGGAGCTTTATACTTGTCCTTTCTGTCTTCAATTCGCGCGATGAATGGAGAAACAAACAAATGAATATCGAAGCACCCCAGTACGTGTGGTCATTCCCCTATTACTCTCCCCAATTCCTCCTTCCTTCATATCCAATAGGTAACGGGGTAGGGACGGGCTAAGGACTGTGCTCAAGGGAAGCGTCCATTGGGATAGTCGGGACTTGATGTCTTGCGACATATGGGGGTCACATAAAGATTTTAGCAAGCAGAGGCAACAAGTTAGAATTGGCGATAGACAACACGATATGACTTTATGACCGTCGCGTGCATTACGTTTGCTCAAAGTCATCTATTGTGAGATGTATGGAAGTATCAGAGCGTATTGAGAGGAGTACTAAGACGACTGGGTCGAGGACAGAATCTATATGGGATCGGACTTGGGGATTTGGAGCTTGGAGTTGGGAGTTGGGAGCTGAGGTGGGTGGGTCAAGCAGTAAGGTCGCTTTGTATATAGTTGCGACCGTAGATAATTGTCGTTCGTATATGTAGACGGCGGGGGAGCGCAAGGGCGCCCCGGAGTTCTAGAATGGCGGCTTGTGACATACGTATGGCAAGCGACCCGGTCTGTTTGTGAAACATGCCAAACAGTACCACACATCCATCTCCCAGACCCATACTGTACATATGCTCAAAACCGACTCTAAACAAGTAAAACACCCTCATAACCTTCCATCCCAGCTCTCACCCCTAACTATACCCCTTCGTCTCCCCAATGGCACACACTCCAAAAACGCCATCATCCAGCCCTGCCTCGCGGACGGCAGCAGCGAGCATCTCGGGGGGTTCGGTGAAGCGTTCGGGCGTCATGCGGAATGTACCCCAGTGGATGCCTAGGGCTTGTTTACATTTCTAACGCCATCGCATATCGTATCAGCCCAGCTCCTGAGATTTAAGAAAGACGAGCATAAAAGGCAATAGAGGAATAGAGGAACGCACGGTATCTTGGAATATCCTAACACTATCCCCCGGCGAAGCATGCATCCCCGACATACTTTCCGTCGGGAAATACGCCCCTATAGGGATCAAGCCGAGTGTGAACGGGCCGAGTTTATCGCCGATGGATTTGAAGGCGGGGCAGTAAGGGAGGGAGGGAGGTGGGGGGAGGTGGAAGGGGTTGGGGTGGGAGTGGAGGGCGCAGTAGCCGGTGTCGCCGCCGAAGAATACCTGCAGGTCGAGGTCAATTATGGGTTTAGGGGTTAAGAGGGGAAGAGGGGAAGAGTGGAAGAATGGTTTTTATAGGATGGAGTGGGAAGGATGTGTAAGAGAGGGAGACGTACGGAAGTAGGATTCGTCACCCCAGGCCTGACATCCTTTGCAACCCAAGACGACCAAAGCGAATTGTCCCTGTCCCAGAGATACCGAGCGGAGGTGTGTTGGCATGGGGCTAACGTATTCAAGAAATGTCAGCTCGGTACCATCCTCAAAGGCAACTATAAAAACGGAAGAGAAAAGCGGGAATTTGGGAGAGAGGAAGGGAGGGAGAGAGGGAACGTACTACAAGTCATCTCCACCTCCCCAACACCATCAACAACAACCCTCCCGCCCTCCCACCAATCCAGCTCTATAACCCTCCCCCTCTCCCCTTCTTTCCCTCCCTTCCCTCCTTTCCCGCCGATATCCAAATCCGCCACCACATGCCGATTATTCAATGGCAGAAACAAAACCGGCTCCGACCCATACTTTTCTTTCTGGCTCTTGAAGACGGAGGAAAGGGTGGGCAGGTCGAGGTGGTCGTAGTGGTTGTGGGAGACGGCGATAATGTCGATCTGGGGGAGGGAAGCGATTTTGAATGGGTTTGCTTTGGGTAGCGTCAGGCTTGGTGAGCCCGATGGGAGGGGAAGGTGAAAGGGGACGTACAGCTCTCACGTTTCGGACCCAGTCCCCAAAAAGCCATACCTTCCCCCAGCACCGGGTCAAATAGTACCCTCACACCTCTTTTGCCTCCTTCCCCGAGACCTGCTGTCCCCACTCCTCCTTGCACACTTTGAGCACCAGCCGTACTCGTCAGACCACCAGTGGGACCAGGGAAAGTGGGAGCCGTCGGAAACTCGACAAGCACCGAAGCGTGCCCCAACCACGTCGCTTTCAGTTCACCCGCTTTGCCGTTCTCGTTGAGCGACTTGCCGAAATCCGGGTTGGGGATGTGTGGGATGAGCGTTTTGGCTTGGGCGCGGGTGGGGTCTTTGACAGTCATCATCTAGAGTCCATCCCCTCAAAGTCAGTAAAGTGTCCAGGGGCGACAAAGCAGGAGTGGAAGTAGGGAAGATGGTGTCTTACAGCATATCCTGCCTGATGACAATCTTCTTATCAGCTGTTTGTTCTCGATGCTGGAGTATGGTGCGGGGGACGTACTTTCATCAATGACCAGAAACTCTTTACGTCAAATACACATGTCAGCTGTTTACTCTTTTCTTTCCCGAGTCCTTTCCCATGCTGCACATGGCATAGGATGAAGAGAAAGACTGACAGGATAGGCATACGATTCCCAGGGATTATGAAATTTTGTGCCGTGGTCGTTGGACCAGTGTTCCCCTTTTGGGCGTTTGCCGTCGGGAGCGGTGGGGTGGACTGTGATCTGGGTCATTCTGTGATAGTGAAGAAGAATGAGAAGAAGAAGAAGAAGAAGGATATATATATATATAACTCGAGGGATGCCGAGGAATGAGGGAGACGCAAGCGACAGCCGGAGCGGGGAGGGCCGACGCATCCACCGCCTTGTTTGGCTCGGGGGCGCGGCATTTTATTCACCATTTGACCGAGATCTCGGGGGGCTCGGTAAAGCGTTCGGGCGTCATGCGGAATGTACCCCAGTGGATGCCTAGGGCTTGTGGGGGGGACTGTGGCCTGTACCATGCTGTATCGGTGGCAAGGATCAGAACCAGAATGACAAGCTGGTCAGCCGATGCCCGGGGAGACACTGCCGAGGGCGCCATGCCCGACCGCGAGGTCTATCTGCCCGTTGTTTGGCTCGGGGAACGTACGTGCGTCCTTGCATCACCCAGCGCCTATCCACCCCGATCCCTACACTTTGCCACAATCTCAAAACAGATTAACGATACATATTGCCCTCACTCTTCTCATTTCTCTCAAACAATCTGAAACCTCTTGCCTCGTCAAGGAAAAAAAAAAGGCACCGTGTATATCTAGATCTCACCCCCACTGGCTCGGCTCCACCACCCTCCCTCTGATTATATATCGCTTCCCCTCTCTCTCCGTACTCTGTATAAATTAGCATAAGAAGAAAAAAAAAATGAGTGAGCGGAAATGCAGAATCGAAAACAACTCGTGTCCGTCCCCTCTGATTTGGTATGATAGATCTCTCAACCCCCTCTCCTCTGCATCCTCATGTGTCATGTGTGGCAAGTATGGCGATGGGAGTTTAATACTGCGCCTCATATCAGTATACAACCCAACCCAAAGAAGAAGGGAAAGAGAAAGAGAGACACACCTTTTCACCGGCAAACCTGCCACTGGCGAACCGTCCAAAGGCACCGCACAGAGAAGTACAGAAACTGAGCGCGAAAGCGCCGAGAGCACCCGCCGTGAGCCAGTTCGCATTACCCTAACCCACCCATCAGCCCTTCCTCTTTCGTTCCAAAAAGCCTCGCAACCCAGACCAAGAGAATGACTTACATAGCTAGCAGAGTACCCGGCGTCATTGATCTTGTTCTTGACCAAAGACCAGAATACCATATCCAGCACAAACGCCGCAATGGTAATCAACAGCCCAAACAGCGCGCTCAAAGCCATCATGATGGTCAAGAACCTCGAGGCGCAGGCAGTGGCGAGGGCGCCAAAGATGAGGGAGAGGAGGGCGAAGAAGCCGGCGATGGGGTGGAGGATGAGGGCGCGGGTGAGGCGGTGGAAGTTTGTGGTGTTGATGTTGAGGTTGCTGGTCATCTTTTATCAGCTCTCGTCTTCTTCTCCTTCTATTCCCTTTTCTTGCCCTTGGACACAAGCAAGATCGATTACAAAGAGGACGTACTCGGCACCCCAAACTTGCAAATCATACCCCACATTCCTGTCCGTACACTGACCACCCCCGCTCAAGCACTCTCCCAAAACGCCAAACACGGTCGTCTGGCCGCCGGCGGAAGCTTGGAGGAAATGGATCCTCTCCCAGGCGGGGGGAGAGACGGATACGAAGATGAGGAGGACCATGGCGCAGAAGGCAAAGAAGAGGCCGGGGAAGGCTGGAGAGGGCATCTTGGGTGGTTGTTTTTTTGTTGTTTTTTTCCCTGTTTGGGTGGGGCGGGAAGGGGGGCGAGGTGGGGTGTTTGTTTTCTTCGGGTTGTCGGTGTGTCTGTCTGTCGTCTGTCGAGCGGGGTGTTTATAAGTGTATATTGATCAGCCTGACGGGGTGGAATTATAGTCTTGTAACAGAAGAACGAAGGATGAAGAAAGAGAAAAGGCAAAACGGGGGCGGCCCAAGCCAACCATCGGGCCGTTACGTCATGGTTCTCTTTAAGCAGCGATTAAACGATTTCTGGGCCTTCCCGTCTTTTTGAGAATTTGAGCCTTGAGGTGGTACCCAGTTTACAGGCACTTGTTATGACTTTCAGCGTCCATGCATGCATCTATCTGGTTAAAGGTATAGCAGGGGAGGAAGGGGGAAGGGAGAAACTTTACAAGCAGCCGCGCGGAAAGGCTTGAGGAGGGGTGTAAGGGCAGATTTTGTTGACAGCCCCGGACAACCGGAGATGATACATACCCCTTTCCCTCTCAATCTTCTTCCTTCTTCCCTCTTCCCTTCTGGGCTGAATGCTGATTGCCCCACTTTTCTTTTCTTTTTCTTGACTTGCCGCTTTGGTTATTGGTTTCTTGCATAAAAGGTGATAAAGGGTGGACCGGTACTCTAAGGTAAGGAAGGTTGGGGTTTTTTTTTTAGAAAAAACAGCCGGATTATACCGGCAAGTTGAATGAGGTTTTTGAGGAGCTTTGAGGGCTGGTGTATGATGCCGATTCCCGAATGATGCGGGTCATGCCGGCATGCCGGCATGGATGAACCCTTTCGAGACATGTACCGTTTGTGTATTTTGTTGTATCTGTTGAGGACTTGAGGTGGGATTGGGTGGGCTTATCTCGTGTGTACTCTAGAGTACAGTACTCGTACTCTACGTACTCCTCGTACAGTACTCGTAATGACGTCACACTCTTTCAGACACTTTACATCTTTTTTGATGTATAGAAAATCTGCATTTGCGTGACAACCATAGCATGCATGGGTATAATATTTCATACAGTCCTAGGGGGGCTGGCTGCTGACTGCTTGCCAGCGTTTGACTGAGCTCCGGCCCTCCTGACTCGAGCGAGACGCTTTCGTTTCTCTTTTATTCTCTTCCTCTTCCCCAATGATTCCCGGTTATTCTCCTGATAATCTGGGTCATAAAACTAGCCCGAAGGCATATTCACTTTCTTCCTTCCCCCTCTGGTCTTTTTGTCGAGCTCTTGAGCAGCCCGAATACACTCAATCTCATCCTGAAGTAGCTTCGCCCTCGCCAAAGACATTTCAAAGCCCCCTTTTCAGTCTTTTCGAGTGCCTCAAGAGCGTCGAGCTCTCCTCTTCGAAACGGCATGGTTGTTGAGGACGTATGACGCGGACAGAGTCAGGTGTAAGAGGCTGACGTTGGGGTGTTGTGGGCCGGGGGCCGGGCGCCAGTACCGCTCATGATGATCTGGCGGTTGGGCGGCCAGATTCCAGATTTGCGCCATGCACTTGTCAACTGCCTGGCGGTGGCCGTTTCTGACCAGGCTCGATGGTGCCACCCCCAAAACATCCCCTTAGAAACCCTACTGCGGTCGGAACAGGGCATATAAATAATCCAACTGCCGATGGTAGGCATTCTTCAAAGAATTGAAGAAATCGACATCGAGTGGCTGCAATTTTGCGCTCAATTTGGCTGGGAGGACGACGATAGAGATCTTTCGTTCCCAACAGGCCTCAAGGAACTCCACTTGGTATTGGGATTCGTGCCCGTGGAGGAAAAGAAGACGCCAGTCGCGCCCGTTGTTGGCAATTATCTCTTGTGGACGGGTCTGGAGAAGCCCGAGTCGGTGACGAGAGCCTTTCCTTTTGCGGGATGCCCAGGGACATGGTCTTGGAACGCAGTCGATGTGATGTGCTCGCTAGAGCTGGACACTGCCTGGCCATTGCGAGCATGGCCTCTAGGGGAGATCCGGCGTGTCGTGCGAGAGCTGGCGAGCTCGAAAACCCGCTTCGTCCATATTTGTAAATGCAGTCGCTTCTAAAGTAAACTGCCCCTTGTCGTAGATATCTTTGACCTGTAGTACATGCAATGAGTTTGAGCTCCAGGGGTCTGCCATGCACTTACAAGTCTGTAGAAGCCTTCACAGTTCTCTTCTGTATTGGCTTGGAGCCGCCCCGAGCTCACTATAGCCATAAGCATAAAAGCTAGACGCAAGTCGATCCTTTGTTGTCGGTGTCGCCGGATGAAGCGGTTCACTTCCAAATTTCCAATGAACGCCAACTTTTTTGCCCATTAAGCCTCTCTGCTATTAGCTCTTTGACATGACCCGGGGGGTAAGAAGAGTACCCTTGCTGGCGTAGTCGTTGATCTTTCGGATCAGGTTGCTCCTCCTGGACTTTGCTGAGGGTGTGGCGAGCGCCATCTGAGCGTGAGGCGTGCAGTGGATGCCTTCTTTCAGTTGCCGGTCGGCTAAAGGTGGATTTTGGGAACTTGAAACTCTTGAGCTATCTGTCATTCTGTCGTATGCTCTTGTCGGGGTGGTCTTTCATGTGTTCGATAGCGGCAGTGATAGGGCTTGTCATTGTGGGTGCATGGTAGAAAGAAGTCTCTCAGGTATGGAATGAAAGAGGTGTACCGCGTGTTGAGTCATAACGAGTACTCGTACGGTGTATCGCGTCACGCGTGGGTTCTGCGTGTACACAGAGGCACAGATAACGAGACACAAGAGATCCAGAGAAGCGCGGAGCATGCAGTGCAATGGCCAGTGTCGAGCCGTCGAGGCCAGCAAGCAGGACTGCAGGAGATATAAAGTACATCCAAACGTTCGAAAGCACACAAGCGTTTTTTTTTTTTTTTTTGTTCAATAGTTCAATAGTTCATCTTTGGGGTATACGTATAGAGCCAGAGCCAGAGCCAGAGCCAGAACAATGAATCACTCGTAAACATAAAAAAAAAGGAACCAAAGCTGGTGGAAAAAAACCTGTATAGGAAAAGAAACGACAAAAAAAAGCTCATATTAAAAACCGGTTTCCTCCCCTCCTGCAACTATGGGCCTATGGGCCTATCAGCAAAAGAATGGAGAGGGGAAAATGAAAAAAAGTATATATAGAACAGAAAAGGGAAACAGATGACCGAGTTTAAAAGAAGAATTGAAAAAAAGGAAAAGAATGGGGAGGGGAGGGGATAAAGTATATATAGATAGAGCCGCATCAGACGCATACTTTAGACGCAACGCATAGACGCATAGACGCATAGACGCATAGACGCAGGTTCGCAAGGTTCGCAAGGTTCGCAAGGTTCGCAAACGTCACAGGTGACAGGTGACAGGTGACAGGTCACAGGGACGCAAGGCCGGAGGGCCGGAGGGCCGCAGGGGCGCAGAAAGGGGGTATATGGGTATATGGGTATGGGGGTATGGGGGGTTATACTCGAAATATCCACAGCAGAAGGTCGGATCGGTGGGATTGGTGGGATTGGGGGACAGTAGGACAGTAGGACATGGGAGGGAAGACGGCGTTGGACGGTGGATGGTGGAGGATCGACGAGGAATGGGTGAGGACCTGCCGAGGGATTACGGAAGAACCAAGGGAGAACGGGCCAGAGGGAGGGAGGGAGGGAGAAAGGAGGGAAGGGGGAGGGAAGGGGGAAGGAAGGGGGAAGGGGCTTCCTATGATTTTGTCCCCTTGACGTTCTGGCTCAACCATTGAAGACCTTCGAATAACCCTTCGCCTGTCGTGGCGCAACTACCCGAGAGTTTATCAGCCTTACGCTCTTATGCACTTATGCCGCTTGGTCTGGGGATTTTTGTAGTGCCGGAAGAGTACACCGTGGACTGGAGAGAAGGAGGAGGAGGAGGGGAAGGAGAAGGAGAAGGAGGAGGAGAAGAAGTAGAAGGAGGGGGAGGAAGGAAGAGAAACGTACCTAGGATGCACATACCAACTCCTCTCCTTCATCCTATGCAACCCCAGCTTTTCCGTGACTTCTGCTGGCGACATGGCTAGTGACAATGAACAATCAGCTTTCCCATCTTGCCTATCGATAACTTCCCTTCCATCCTTCCATCCTTCCATCCTTCTCAAACCAAGAAAGAAGAAGAAGAAGAAGAAGAAGAAGAAGAAGAAGAAGAAGAAAGAAGAAGGAAGAAAACTTACCACCCGGCAAATCCTGCTTATTCGCAAAAACCATCAACAAACAATCCCGCATCTCTCTATCGCTCAAAATCCTTTCGAGCTCGCCGCGGGCTTCGTCGATGCGGTCCCGGTCGTTCGAGTCGATGACGAAGATGAGGCCTTGGGTGCCGGTGTAGTAGTGCCGCCAGAGGGGGCGGATCTTGTCTTGGCCGCCTACGTCCTGTGGGGGGAGGGGGAGGGGGAAGAGTGGATAGACGAGCATGAAGAGGAAGGATGAGGGGAGAGAGAGAAAACCAAAATCCATCAGCTTTCCTTCCCTCTCCTCAGGGTTCAAAGCAAACAGGGGAAGTAAGAGGAAGAAGAGGAAGGGGGGGGAACGTACCCAAACATTAAACTTGACATTCTTATACGTAACCGTCTCGACGTTGAACCCGACGGTGGGGATGGTGGTGACGCTTTGGTTCAGTTTGAGTTTGTACAGGATCGCTTTTGGAAAAGAGGTGGCCCCGTCAGCAGTGTCCGGTTTCCTCCAGTTGGGCGCGAGGGGGAAAAAGTAAGAAGGGACTTGAGGGAGAAGGAAAGTACAGGGGCAGGAAAAGGAGAGGGGGGTGGGAGAAGAAGAGAAGAAGGCGAGACTCGACTCACTAGTCTTTCCCGCAGCGTCAAGACCCAGCATCAAAATCCGCATCTCCTTGTTCCCAAACAATTTGCCTACCAACGTGTCAGCTCTTGTCGATATCAAAGACACACGCGGGACGGCTGGTCTTTTTCCACACGCGTCCCATCCCCATCTCCTTCCTTTGGCAGATCGCCAAGGCAGTAGAAGGGGAAGAATGAGGAGGGGGACGTACCGAGCGCTTTACTCAATTGACCACCCATCTTGACGTTTCCTTCGTTATCGTTCGGTCTTTCTTTCTTGCAGAGTGGTAGGGGCGCGCTTTGATCGGCTTGTCTTGTTTTCCTTATTCCTCTCGTTGTTTACTGTCGGGCAAGTGTGTCGCTGAGGGTGTAAAGGAGGGAGACAACAGCTGGATCCTGATGAAGAGAAAGAGAAAGAGGGAGGGTTGTGATGAGGGACGGGTCTGTGCAACAACAAATGGTCCATAGCGCGTGTGTTACGTAAGGGGCGGGTGCACGCCTTTGCCTCATGCCCTGTCTGCTCCTCCTTCCCGCCACTGAAGATGTCCCCCTCTTCACCCAGGGAGCCTGTGCCCACGCCGCCCCCCCTCTCCCTCTCCGATCTCTTCAAGAATATCCACATGCCCCCGCCTACTCCTGCTGCGAGCCACAGTCCCCCCGGCTCGGCTGGCGGCGCAGACCAGAGGACCAAGTTGTTGGGCATGCTGTCCTTTGGGGGTACGCCCGCCAGCGGGGCGACCTCGCCTGCGTTTACAGCGTGAGTCGGCTGCTTCTTCTGCTCTTTTGCTTTCTAGAGACGCGTTCGGGATGATATCGAGAACAAGCACTGACCCCAACCCCCCGTAGCGTGAGCTCCCCGCCCGTTATCGCCCACCAATCTGGTATCATCACCTCGCCCCCTCCTCCCGCCGTATCCGCCTCTCCCTCCGTAGCCTCGCTCCGGGGGCCCAAAGCGACTCTTCCCGGCCACTCGCCCGCCCACTCGCCTGCGCCCGCGCCCGCGCCCGCGCCTGTGGTGGAGGGCCAGCACCAACCCCAAGCCCAAGCCGAGGCCCAAAAGGGTACGCCAAAAGCAGCGATCCCACCCGCAAAGTTTACGTTCATCTCCCCCTTTGACGCTTTTGAGCCTGCGCCCAGCAAGGGTAGTGCGCCGTCTTCTTTGGCGGCGGCGTCGCCTGTGGGGTCGTACAGGGCTTCGCCTGTACCTGCTTCTGCTGCTGATCCCACTTCTGGCCCTGCCCCTTCCCCTGCCCCTGCCCCTGCCCCTGCCTCGGGGAGGAGTGCTTCCGCCGTCGGGTCGGGTTTGGCGTCGACGTCGGGGACGGATAATGTGCATGGGGAGGCTGTGACCCACGCTTCCATTCCAGCGCAGACTATCCCTACGAAGCAGACTCCGACTCCCAAGGCGAAGAACAGCGGGAGGAAGGAGCAAGTTGAAAAGGTGGACGTGGATGCGGTGGATGTGAAGAAGGAGGAAGGAGAGAAAGTGGGAGAGGTGGAAGACCCTGCGATCGCTGCTTTCGACCCTTCCCCCGCTCCCCCTCCCGTCCCTGCCACTGGGCTTACTGGGCTTACTGGGATCAAGGCGAACGATGTGAAGAAGCAAGTCGTCGTACCCAGCCCTTCCGCTCTCACCCAACCCAAACTTACCACGCCCTTGCCTGTGCCTGTGCCCGTGCAGGAAGTGATGAAAGAGAATAGTAAACCACCCCACGGGTACGTCCCTTCTTCCATCCCCCCTCCCGATTTTTTTATGGACAGAGCTGACATCTGTGCACCTTTCGACGTTAAAATAGACCTACAGAGACAGCTTCGCACATTACCGTCGACCTCGGAAAACCGAACGCTGAGCATGTCATACCGCCTACCGTCATCCCCGGGGCGCTCAATGTCCAAGCTATCACGATCACAAAGACGTCCGCGTCCGCGTCTGCGTCTGCGGCTGCCTCTGCCTCTGCATCTGCGGCTGCGGGTGGGGAAGGGGAAGGAGAAGGACGGTTTGGGGCGGGGAGGAAGGTGGGGGTTACGAGGCAGTTTATGGGGTATACGATGTCTAAAGGTGTGTTTTTACAGTCATCTTTTTTTGAGATGAGAAGAAGAAGAAGAAGAAGAAGAAGGGCTGATGAATGGATAGGCAGGATCAGGTTGATCGACTCGCGTTCCGGTGCCCGACTCATGCTCCAGACCACCACCCCCACCCCCACTCCCACCTCCGGGTCCGGGTCCGGGAACGGGAACGGGAGCATCATCGACCTCGCGGTGACCCCGATCTTTATCGCCGCCCTAGCCTCCGACAGGTCCCTCTGGATCTGGCGCGTCCCCCCCGGGTGGGCGTACGATAACCCACCGGTGGAGCTTGTCTTTGTTGGACATACAGCTGGAGCTGGGGCTGGACAAGGGGGGCAGGGGCATTGGGCAGAAGGCGCCGAGAGGGTGGAATGGGTGAAGCGCCATGGCGGGGAGCAGCTTGTCATCGGCGGTCAAGAAGGTGTCGTCCTCTTCAACCCCCTCCACCCCTCCCTCCCGGGCCAAGGCCCCGCCCCGCACCCTCCCTCCCTGTTCGCCTCCCCCCCCTCCTCCCCCGCCTTCTCCCCCCTGCTCAAAGCCGACGGCCCCCTCGTCGATTTCTGCATCAACGCCCAGAACGTCGCGCTCGGCCTCATGGCAGAGACGGGGCATTTCACGCTGTACTCTCTTGGGAGTTTGAACAGGGTTTGGGCGAGGATGCTGCCCGGGGGGAGTGGGGTGCATGAGCGGGTGAGCGGGTGTTTGTTTGTGGAGAGTAATGTGTGCGTGGGGAGGAAGGGGAATACGTATTGGGATTTGGTGCAGATTTCGACGGATATTGCCGTTTTGTCTTCTATCCGGTTCCTCCCCCCGCCTTCCGCCCCCGCCTCCTTGGCGAAAGGGGGGGGGAAGGGGAAGCACTGGACGAAAGCGGTGTACGACCCCGGGTCGGGACTGCTGTTCATCGCGCCGTACTTGCGCAACTCGCTCTACGCTTTTAGGTACGCGCTTAAAGGCAGTGCGCCGCTGAGAGACGTCTCACTTCCGAATGGCCCGAGGGTTGTTGGGTTTGACCTCTTGTCTGAATTTCCCCTCGCCCCGGCAGGTGCGGTGGGAGGGGGAGGGGGAGGGGGAGGAGGGGAAGAGACGGGGGTCAGTTCGTTAGCGATGATAGCTTCGCTCGGTAATCAACCGGGGAGGGAAGCGGGTGATTTGGATTTCGTCGTGAAGACCGATAAGGGCGCTGTCAGTCTGCACCTTACGCAGCTTGGGCTCGAGATTGCCCAAGGCGGGCTTGGAGCTGTGGAGAAGCATAAGCAGAAGAAGAAGGAGGAGGAGGAGGAGGAAGAAGAAGAAGGATGGGCCAAGGTGGTTGAGAAGCCGGAGCCTGTACAGGCTTGGGCGAGTCGACCGGCTGCCCCGGCTAGTATACCCGCGCCCAAAGCCAAGGTCATTGGTGAGCACAAACAACAACAACAACAACAGCAAAGCATGCTTTCACACCCTCTTCCGAGTGGGACGACTTTGGCGCCGAACCATGCTTCTGAGCAGGAGAAGGCGAGTACGCCCTCTGCGCCCGGGTCGGTCAGTGGGGATGGGGGGAAGAAGGGGAAGAAGGAGAGGAAACAGAAGGAGAGGGAGGACAAGATGGTGAGGGATTTGGAGCGCGAAGAGCAAGAGACAAATGGGGGCAAGGCTGGCAAGAAGGAGAAGCAGTATAAAGTCGTGGAGAGGGAGAGAGAGGCCGGGTGGTTGGGTACGGAGGGTGTTGGTAGGGATGAGGTGGAGAGTATGCTGATAGAGGTGAGTAATCGTTCATTCATGGGCCGAGTGGGGCTGATGGAATGTAGCTGGAAGCTCGATTGGGCAAACAGTTCCAGCAAGATCTCCATACGGCTCTATTCCCGATCACGCAAAAAGTCGAATACCTCTCTTCCCCTGCTTACCTCGCTTCCCTCACCTCCGCCCTATCGTCTTCCCTCCAATCTACTCTCCTCCCTGCGCTTTCCCAAAACATCGGTAAAGACATTCTCGGCGCGAGCAAGGCTAGTGCGCGAGAGGTGGTGACTCTAGTTGGTAGGGAGGTGGGCCGAAAGGTGGATGAGAGTGTGGATAGTGTTGTGAGGGTCGTTGTGCAAGAGGCGGTCGTCCAAGACCTATTGCCTGTCCTCAGGGCAGAGACGAGCCGACAAACGCAAGCCATCTCTGCCGACCTCCATTCCGAGCTTTTGCAGCTCCGCAAATCCCTCTCCCCGCCGCCTCTTCCTCCCGCGCCCAAGGGCCCGACGCAAGAAGAGCTTCAAGAGCAAAAGGAGAGGCAGAAGGAGAGGAAGGAGGCGAGGGAGAGGTGGGTGCGGTGGGAGAAGGAGAAGGAGGAGGAGGGGAAGAGGTGGGAGGGGGTGAGGGGAGAGTTGAGAGAGTTGAGAAAGTTGGTTGGTGCGTTGCAGAGTCAGCAGGGTCAGGGGTCGAGAGAAGTACCGGCTTCGGCACCTATCGTCCCCGCGCACGCGCATCCTACTGCCCCTTCCAACCCCGTCCCTCAGCACCACCCACCATTCCCCCACCCCGGCCTTCACCCGAACCAGTTCCCCCAGCACCCTCCCTTCCCGCCGCCTCCCCCGGCGCAGTTGACGGATACGTTTATTGCGGTGCTTTCGAAACAATCGGTGCCAGAGACGGTGCAGTTGGTGATGGATCATAGGCCGTTGACGGATTATATCTTGCCGGTGAATGGGGCGGGGAAGAGCCCACTTGGGCAGGCTGTTTTGTTGACGGTTGTGCATCGAGTAAGTCTTGTTGCTTTCGTTTTAGGGGCGGTGGCTGATGATTCCACAGCTCTCGACTGCCATATCCGACCTCCCTCTTTCTCCCAACACGCCGACTTTACTCGAATGGCTCCGCCGATCGCTCGCCCATCTCCAACCGGGAGATGCAGAGATTGAGACGTGGGCCGGTAGAGTTTTGCCTCTAGTCAGAGAAGGAGCGGTGAGGTTTGTTGAGAGGGCGGGTGTGGAGGGAGGACCTGCCGGGAGGGGATTGGTGAATGAGGGACGAGAGTTGATCTCGCAGGTAGAGAGCAAGATGGGTTGAGGCGTGTTCATAGTGGGAGATTCGGAAACAAGGTGTGGTATACGATGATATTTGGGTTGGTGTTGAGCATTTGTAAACATCTTGCTTTTGGATGGTTTGGTATGAATATCGCATATTGGCCAAAGTGGTATCTATCGGGTCACAGACATCATCTCTCAGGTCAAGCATCTCCACGCCCACCACCATCTAGACGCTCTCAACGCCAGCATACTCGCTCTCCACTCCAGGCTCCATCAAGACCGCATGGCCCAAGATCAAGATGGCCGAGCTTCCGACGAGCCAGAAGAAGGTGGAGACGGGGGAGGCGATGTAGAGGATGGGGATACCGATGACGAAGAGGGCGGTGTAGAGGGATTTTTGGGTGATGAGGTGGTCGCCGACTTGGAGGGGTTCGGGGACTGTAGGAGAGTGGCAGGGAAGTTTGAATGGAGGTGGGGAAGAAAAGTGGTTAGTTTGAGACTGCGAGTAGACGCGACAGAACGTACCAAACTTGTTGATGGCAGTAAATCCACCAGCGAAGAATGCGATAGCGATCAGCAACAAAGGGTTTGTCAACCTATAGGACAGTCAGTATACCAGCCGATACACAAAGAGAGTAGCGCACAAGGCATAGATGATCAGAACGGCAATGACAATGAGATAGTTGCCGGAGAAATGCCTCGTGTTGTAGGTCAATCTCTGCAATCCTATTAGCATGAGTTACGGTAAGGTGCATTGGCACAAGCAAGACGGGAACAGACGTACAGAAGTGGCCTCGTTGAAATCTTGGGGTCGCGAGAGTTGGCGGTGGTCGAACTGGAGAAGGGGTCAACGATAGGCACTGCGGCAGATAATCCGCGTCGACTTGGAGTGCATCCAGTATTGGGATGATGCACAGAGCTATGTCGGCTTACAAATTCTTGAGGAGGCTTCAAGGTAGAAAGCCTGGTCTCCTACAGAGAGTATGAGCTCGATTCGTTTTCACTCGTACTCGCCGCTCCCCTCTGTCTCCCTCAACTCAAATCCTCGAAAAGACATACCTTGAAATTCTTGACAATGTCGGTAGCCTTGGCGACGTACTCCATTTTGCGGTTGTGTATATGTAGAGGTAAGAGAATAAAGGAAAGAGATCTATAGCGCAGCCAAGATCTGTGCAGGATTGTGACGTTTCGCAGTGGGGGCGGGGGTCGCCGCCGCAGTCTTTCGCCGCTTTGGGTTGTTTGGTTCTGCTCCGCGCGTATGCTGGCCATGCTGCCATGGATCGAGTATTTGCAAACTGGACTTGAATCAAAGTGAAGTACCCCCTCTTATGGCTTGAAAGGAACACGATACAACCAAGGCGAAGCGTTGTTACATCATAGAAAGCCAGCTAAACGATTCAAGTAAATTCATCGTCTTGGCTCAAGCTATAACGAGGTATCATAGCTCCTCCTTCTCTTCATCAGTGATTCCCCCATCCAGCAAAGCGTTAAAGGAATCAGCCCAAGAATTGACGACTTCTTCGAAATCCTGTCCGAAATCTGCTGGCTTTCCCTCGTATTCAAACCTCTTGGTTGTATTGGCATTGAACAATCGCATCTCGTTCAGCTGGTCATAGGCAGCTTGGTAGATCCTTTTGCTTTGATCTGCCCCACAGCTGCTTCGTTGAGATCTCTAGATATGAGGAGTGATCGGAATGCTCAAAGCGTGTGCGGCATTGGGTGGTGGTCTCTCGTGTATCCACAGATCTTCCTTGGCCAGCTCCTCCAGTCCTGATAATCCACAGAGTTGGTAAACGCACTCATGTATACGTCCTCTGAGGCATCAATGTCAACGCCCCCTTTAACGATAGCCCAAGAAGCGACCCTGCTTCGGTCGTTATGGAAAAAGGATTCGACAGAAGCGATATTTGCTGACGTTGAGTTCCGGCCGGGTTTGCTGGTATTGGCTCAGTACCTTTAGGTTGTAGGCACTCGCCTGCTGCATTCAGATCGGCCCTCTATACCCCCGGATCAGTCAATTGCTCGAAACATATGAAAGGTGACGCGGGGTCAGTACGGGGATACGACAGTTGCCTGTGCGTCAATATTTTTGGGATTTGACTCTCCAAGTCGTCGGCGTCGGCAATGCCACTTCGATCCAAAGGTCGATCTGAGAATTGCTTGCTTGTGGTTCCTCTGGAGTTGCCAGACAACTGAGCGTGTTGCCTCAATCAGGTACGAGCTGTTGTGGTATCCCGGCGTGAACTTGTAGTGGTAGAAATAGGCGAAGAAGGGAATTAGGCGCGCGAGAGTTTTCCACATAGATTTCCATGTTCTCGTGTACACAGTCCTTCTTCTTCATATGCAAACTAGATAGCCTAACCTTCCAACAGGTTATGAGCCTCAACTTCCACTAGACTGAGAACAGACCTGTCCCCGACCGT